ATGAATTGTATCTGTTTTTTCCTCCCCCGTCTGGTCTGGAAAGACGTAATAGAACCGCTCCCTGTGGATGACTACGTGCCCTCTGACAATAGCGATGCCACAACTATCTCTTATGGATCACTTTTTGGCTAAGTACTATCGTGGCTATAGAGTATATGATAGGACCACTATGGTCGGTACGACTGTGGTCATAATCCTACCATGTTTGGCAAGCCTGAAATGTGCCTGAGCAAATTGTTGTTAGTTGTATCTAATCTGGTCATTCCACATGGATAGTCGGAAATCCGTATCTATCCTCAAAGATGGAAATCAGAACGATTTCGCGAAACATGACACGAAAATCTGAGTATTTCATTATTTATTTAATTTTTTTTTTATTTTCAAATATGATGTTTGATTTTGATTGTGGTGGCTATGACATAATGTTTTCTTAATAAATAAATTATTTTTATAAAGTAGGATAGGACTCTGACATGACTTAATGGTAACTATTATGATATAATTATTCACATTTTAAATATTACGATGTTATTTAAATACTGTTTTTTCTTACTGAGCATATGAAACTTACTTTTTCCATGCCCTCCCCCTAGATGAGGAAGATAGTGAGGAACCGTCTGCTGACCTAACCCTCTAAGTTTAGTATCCTGTAGATCTGCAAACCTTAAGTGCATGATTGTTCCTGCACTTTGATGAGTCTAATAGCATAATGGTAGAAGTGACCCTTTTTGTATTTTGATATTTTATATTTTGTTACCATTTCTAACCTTATATATATGTGTAATTAGAACTCATATATTATGTATGTGATTTGTAACAATTTGCTATGCTGCATATAAGTTTTATCATGCACTTGTAATCTGTTTTTGTATATGACACTCTCATGCCTTAGTTAGCATTTGGAATTGTAATACCCGTTCATCACTGTGCTAAAATAATTTGAAAACTCTACTTATTCGAGCCTTTGCCGCTTTGAACTTAATTAATTTATGTTGTTTAACATTTATCGTGATTCGTAATTTTAATTAATTTTTATTTATTTAATTTTAGTTAAATTTTATTTTAATTTATTTTATTTTATTTTATTTCAAAATGATTTTAATTTAACTAAATTAAATTGAAAACAAAAAATTTAGAAAAAAATCGAAAAATGGCAAAACGGGAAAAAAATTCCTGCGGGAAAAATCTCGTGAGAAGGTTGGTTGCCTGTGCGGGTGTTGGGCACTGTGTGCGTGCATGTGCGCACGTCCCATCCGCACGCATGCATGCACGGGACGTGTGCATAGGGCGCACATCCCATTCGCGTGCACGACGTGGGGTCAAGACCTGCGCATGCGTTCTGTCGCACGCAGACAGGCCATCCGCGTGTCACCTTGGGTACGGACAGGAGCTGTACACTGTGCTCGTGTCGTCTGAGCAGTAGGTCTGCGCAGATAGGCCCTATGTGCCTGTAGGCTAGCCTACAGCGCGTTGGTCAGAGCACTGCCACCTTGGGTAGTGCACCGCCGCTACCTTGGGTGGCGCCCTGTCGCCATCGGTGAAGGAGGCCCTCCTCATTATTTTTTCATGCCAAACATCTTTTTTTCTCTCTCTTCACCGGATTTCGCCACTTGGTGTGAATCCAACAGTTCTAAAATTTTATAAATTTCCCTCCTCCTTTCCTTCCTCTTCACACTTCCATTCTTCCATTTTACAAAGGTTTAGAGAGAGAGAGAGAAAGATAATAATCTAGTGAGAGAAGAAGAGAAAGAAAGGAGAACGATGAGGGAGAAAACATCAAAGTTTTGGTATTGAATCTAGTATTTCTTTTGATCTCTTAAGGAGTATTTTTAGATAAACTAATTTAATATGATTGTGATTTTGTCTGTTTTGTATGCCTCTACGTTTAGATGAGTCAAATTATTCTTGTTTTCAAGCATGCAATGTGAATTGCTGACACTTGATGAATTTTCATGTAATAAATATAATATGTAATCGGTAAAAGTAAAAAACATAAAAGAAAAAAAAAAGTGGAATGAAGCCTGTATGGTCCGAAGTGTATTTGTATTGACATGCATATTGCATCAAGTATTTCGATAGGCTTTTTATCTCTAAGGAGTATTTGTTCCCCTTGCCCTTTAGAGTATCTATTTCCCCTCCCCTATCTAGTATGAAAAGACGTAAGAGGACCATTCTCAGTGGATGACAATGTGCCTTCTAATAAGAGTGGTGTCACACTATCTGTAGGTGTCACTTGTGGCTAAGTAATGTCGTGACTATAGATATCTTTTAGGGCCACTATGGCTGGTATGACTGTGGTAATGGATCATACTATGGTTTTGCCAACAAAAAATGGGCTTGAGCAAATTGCCGTATTTGTATCTAATCTAGTCATTCCACTTAGGTAGTTAAAAATTTGTATTTGCCCTCAGAGATGGAAGTTGTAACAACTTCGCTAAACATGACACAAAAATATGTGCATTTCATGATTTATTTAATTTTTCTCCATTATCTGGCACGATGTATTTTTGATTTTCAGTGTTAACCTATCATTTTCTTAACAAATAAATGGTTTTATCATAATATGAGATGGATAAAAAAGAAAGTTAAATGGTAAGATAAAATAATTAACTTTTGAAATCTTATGATGTTAATTCAGTACTATTTTTCTTACTGAACATATGGAATTCACTCTTTCCATACACCCCCAGATGAGGAAGAAAGTGAGGAATCGTAGGCAGACCTACCCTTGGAAGTCTATGAGAATCCCATGGATCCACAAGTTTGAGTGCATAACTGTTCCCTCACTCTGATGAGTCCAATAGCATAGTGAAAGAAGTGGCCCTTATATTTGTGTGTATTTTACAGCTACTTTTGGCCTTAGTATATATATATATATCTATTGGAACTCATATGTATTTGTAAGGAATTTGTAATGATTTTATTCCACTGTATAAATTTTATCATGCACTCGTTTTTCTAAATCTGTATCTGACACTCATTTGCCTTAACTAGTACTTGGGATGGGATGTCACAGATGGTATCAGAGCAATTACGCGGACCAAATCCCTTACAACTGAGGCCGTAGGTAGAAAGACCCTTAGGATATTTAGGAAAATAAGTCATCTTTTCCAAATTAGATCATTGACTCGTGTCTTCCTTTTTTTGTAGAAATGATGCAAGGGAGACCTTTCATAGAATGTACTGAAAGACCCGAGACCAAAGACCATCCAACCAAGGCTGAGTTTACCGAACTCTTCCGAGCTATCCAAGGATTGACCACCGCCATAAGACATAACCAAGCCAACCTTTGTCAACATCCTATGCCGGAGTATCGAATAGTTGAGAGGTCTATCTATCACAATATATCGTAATTTAAGAAACTTAATCTGCCACACTTTGAAGGTTACCCTAACTCCTTAGTAGCCAAACCTGGATTCTGCAAATAGAGAAGCTTTTCTCTATTTTAGACCTAATTGAGGAATAGAATGTCACCCTAGCAGCCTTTATGCTGAACGGTGAAGCAGAACACCAGTGGTGACTTAAGAAGAAGGTTTTGCCTATCCCTACCACCTGGGAAGTTTTTATGAATGCGTTCTTTTGTAACTTTTTCCCAGCCTATGTCCGAGAGGAGAAAGAGGAGGAATTTTAAGACCTCCACCAAGGAAATCTGATGGTTGCCCAATATGCAATGCGATTTTTCCAATTGTCTAGGTTTTCCCCTCTAATGGTCACCCCTCGAAAGTCATAAAGTTAGAAAATTTTTAAAAGGC